CTGCCAGGACACCTGTCAGGGCACATCTTACGGGTCTTCCCTAATGCTTGCTTCTTTCCAGACCACCATCTGTAACCCATCATGTTCCTCACTGGATTTTATATCTTACCAATTCAGCAAGCCCTTCTCCTAACCCCCCCAGTGGGTGGAAGTCCAGTCCGTCCCTCCAGCCCCAAGTTCTAGGCCCAGGTTCCTGCCCATCGCCATGAGCCCTTCCATATGTGGCTATATCCCAAGAGTGGATACTGATGATGGGCGGGTAGGAAAATAGGAATTGCTCAGACCATTCTGTGATTCTGCATCTAGCGCAAGAGATCGTGCCTTTCACAAGCTCCATTTAGATCACTCCTGTTGGTGGGATATTTTCAATGTGTCACACAACCCTAGATTTTCTTGTTATTTTTGTCTTTTGAAAAATTCTCCAAGAAACCTAATGTGGAAGTTCCTCTTTTTGATGAAGTTCAATAAATCATTAAGTGAGCTGTTTGAGAGCACAATGAAAGTCTGTTCTGCAAAAGGATGGAAAATGCCAACTTCCCAGGGAAGGAAATGAGTGTAAATCTAGGACTCCTAAATAACAGGGAGTGTTTTGACCCTGTGCTATTTACAGTGTAAATATAGTGGGAGAATCACAGCCAAGCTGGCTTTGCTGCACCCTTTTTTATATTTGTCAGATTATTGAGAAACGGAAGCTCAGAGCTGGACATGAATTTAGGAAGCCTCTGGTTGAGTGGTTTCCAAAGGCTCCATCCGAATCAGTGGAAAGATTGTTAAAAATACAGGTGTCCAGGCCTTGGACCTCAGCTGTAGAATTCAAGTCTCTGGCATTGGAGAATCTTCATAAATCTCCTAGGTGAGTCTGACATGCAGGCAGGTCTGGAAACTACTAACCTAGTTGAACTTTCTGCCCACTGTAGGATTCCCCTCAACATTCTTTCTACTCCAAGTGTGGTCCAAGCACTGGAATCTTCTGAAAGCTGTTTAGAAATACAGAATCCCAGGCCCCACCCCAGACCTACCAAATCAGAATCTGTATTTTCACAAGATCTCCAGGTAATCTCTATTCACATTACAGTTGGAGAAGCACCACTCTACTCCTATTGCTCCAGTCTTGACATGTCACTGAAGAACTGGGCTAACCTATTGGGACATACTGTAGAGAAATGAGGCTTCCCAATATAAAAGCAATTAATTATCCAAAGCTGAGTATGTTTCTTGGGGAAAGGCAATTGAAATCTGGCTTTGACATACAAATGAACTTCAGAGGCAGAGCTTCTGGGTACCACTGACTTATTTTGTTCTCTTACCAATTCTGATAGTGTCAGTTCTCCGTAATACCCACCTGTTCTACCTGTTGGCACACTGCTTGGAAGGGCCTGGGAAAAGGTAGAGATCCTCACTCTCTTGGTGCCCTGAGTAAGTTGGCCTGGGTTTAGCCCACTCCCATACCAGTGTTTCCTGGGGTCACCTTTACAAAATGCACCTATAGCAGATGCTGTTGGTGTCTTGTCCAGGTCCTCTTGACCAGCTGCTGAGCATGTTGACTATTAACAGCTCATAGCTGCACTCATCTCAGGATTCCCCTTGACTAGGAGCTCCCTAGCTCTGAAATGCCTAATAGATTCCATTAGGCTTCTTTCAGGGAATCAATCATCTCTTGATTGCTTCCTAATGGAGAATGGTATTTAGAAACCAAGGCCTGGGCATTGGGAGTGCTCATTTCTGTTGTACTGCTTCTAGACTCTCAGTGGACATAGCTAGGAACTATGTGTGAATACCAACTCATGTATATACACACACATAACTATATTCATTTCTGACCCTGTCTTTATATATACCCACGAGTTTTTACTCCTTACTCCGTGGTTCATTCTTGCCTTTACCCCTTTCCTTATTTGTAATTTATTTCTCAGACAGTGAAAAATATGGCCCTTGTTATCTACAATATATTTACTTATTTTTTTAACCTTAGTATACAGATTAGTAGTTTCAGAATTGCTGAGCCATACCCCTCCAAAAACAAATTTACCAACTGGAGTACAGCATTTGTGGATCATTTTTTAAATCTTTAGCCTCTAGCTTCCAGCCAAAACACTGTTTTTCAGAGTTATTTAGGGTGGCTCCTTTCTGTCTCACTACCTTCAGTATGGTTATGTGAATCATTTGGAACACAGTTAGATCCCTTTGTCATAGTCTATATTCCATTTTAAGTACCTCTCACAACTTGGTAAATAGTTCACAATTTACATACAGTAAAATTCACTCATCGTGACACACAGTTCTGTAGGTTTTGATAAATGCAGTGAGTTGTGTTCCATCACCACGGTGCCATATAGAGCAGTTTCATTATCCACTAAATTACCTCACACTGCTCCTTCATAGTCAACTCCTCTTCCAAGCTCAATCCCACGCAACCACTAACCCGTGTTCCATCTTTATAGTTTTTCTTTTTTCTAGACTATCATAGAAAAGAAACTACACAGGATATATATAGCCTTGTGTCCAGCCTCTTTCACTTAGAATAATAATTTTGGGGATTCATCCATGTGGTTTTATGTATCAGTAGTTATTTTGTTTTTATTGTGGAATAGGATATAGATATTATACAATTTGTTTAAACAGTCACATGATGATAGACATCTGGGCTGTTTCCCATTTTTACTATTATGAATAAAGTTGTTATGCACATTCACATATAGGTCTTGTGTGGATATGTGTTGCCATTGCTTTTGAGTAAATAATTAGGAGTGGGATTGCTGGATCACATGGCAGGTAAATGTTTCACTTTGTGATGGTCTCCTTTTTCTTCTGCCTTCTTAAAGTCTAGTAGTGAGGAGAGCCCAAGTAAGTTATAAAGCGCCAGTTGGGGAGGGGGAAAAGGAGAGTGATAGGCTGTTCTGATGTAGTTCAGATGGCACTGGTTTAGGAAAGAAAAAACTAGGAGAGGGAATGGGGATGAGTAGACAGATATAAGGAGGCAGCACAGTTTGAAGGAGAGCCCATGGGTTTGAGTCAGAACATCTGGACTTACATCCCAGACTCTTTGCTTCCTTTCCTAAGACTGTGGGAAATTTAATTAATGTCCTGGTTTATAAAAAAACATGTGAAATAGAGGCAATAACATTTACCCTTCATGATGATTTGTGCAAGTGTTTTCTAAACCAAAAAATTTCTCCAAATTACGGTGTTATTTTAGGGAGAACACAGTAAATGTCAGCTCTGAACCATTCTGGTTGAGGATGAGGGCGGAAGGGTTGTTGGTGATGGTATAACGGATTTTGCTTTTTATGCTATGTAATCCAAACTTCTGACTTTTAACAAGATGTTAATATATAAGTGTAGTGGGGATCAGGCCATTATCAATATCAGAGTACAAACTCCTTCAAGAATCTGATAAAAGCTATAAACTCCTTCCAGAAAATGCTCCCCATAGAATTCTAAGAAAGGGTTCATAGACCTCTTGAACACCACTCATGTACCCCGGTTTTGAGAATGCTGATTTATCTAGTTTAATCTGCATAAAAATAATTCAATTATGGCTACTTATACAAATAACTTATATTTCCATACCATGTGGTACAGTACCTATTTTGCTTATAATTAATCAGATTGACTTTGCTATAAATTTGATTTGGTTATAAAACTAAACTGTTGATGCAGTCTCCACATTTATGATTTGTTGTTCGTGTGGCACAGTGTTGTCTACAACTTTAAGAGGAAAATTAGAGAGGTGTTTCTTAAGCACTAGTATTCTGCCTCCACAGTTTCATCTGTTGGAATAATTATTTCCCAGGTTGGAAATTGTTTGCTCATATGGAATGCGCTGGTAGGTGAGAGAGGCTGAGAGGCAGAGTGGAAGGTGTTCAGGCTTCAAAAGACAGACCTGGGCTGGAATCCCGGCCTCTTCACCACTTTCTAGAGTCCTACCTTAGCAAGCTCTGCAAGCCCTGGCCTTCACTAACTTCACCAATGAAATGGGAATAACATACCCACTTCGGGGGTTTCTATGGCCATTAGGGACAATGCAAACCACGCGCTCGGGCTGTAGGAGAGGTTAAATAATGGTACTATTATGGTGAGTCCTTTGTGTTACGCAATAGCAGCTATGTTGCCCATGGCTCCCAACACCTTTTAATCAAACTGGCATAGGATTCTGATTTCAGGGGACAATTGCTTACTCTGTTGGGGGGAGTAGCAAATGTCAAAGGCTGATAGCTGCTGACACCACCTTGGGGGTGCCAGGGAGCAGGCCAAGGGGCTATGGCCCGCCTTGCCTTTGACCGTCCACTGAAGCGTGACTTCTCAATGGCACTTGGCTGGCTTTTCCAGAGGCCAGCGCAGTATCTAAGGTATTAAAAATCCGGAACTAACACAGGCAGGGGAAAACCCAGTTCGAGAACATCTTTTCCTTCCTTGCTGCTAGCTTCCTTGTTTTTTCTTTCTCTGGCTTAGTGAGGAACAATACAAGGGCTAACGAGTCTTCTGACAGCTTTTACTTCCAAGAATATAATTCTATGTCTGTATAAATGCCATCACCTTCCCTGACGCCTTTGGGGACAAGGAAAACATGCTGTGAGTCACGTCCACCCATTTTCAGGCCAAAGTATTGAGCATTCGGTGGAAGTCAGTGCGGTGTGGTGACAAAAGTCGCCGTCAGAAGTCACAGAATCCAGGGCTGGCCCCCATCCCCATTTCTGAATCTATATGAAAAGGGCCAATGGCTGTGCCTTAGTTTCCTCATTTGTAAAGTGCATCCAGTGCGCCTTGGGTGAGCGCGGACCTCATTCCCACGGGTGATAGGCGCTGACCCTGCGGGACCCTGGCTCGGCCTCGCCGGGACCGCGCTGGGCCAGCGGCCGCCGCGCCGCGCAGGGAGCCAAGGGTTGCGCGTGCGCAGCTCCTCGGCGGCCCGGGAATCCTGCGGCGCGCGACTCCGTTGCCAGGGGAACGGGGAGGGGGGCGGCGAGCTTTCCGGCGCCGTCGTGGAGGGGGGCGCGCGGCGAGCTTTCCGGCGCCGTCGCGGAGCGTCGCAGCTGTCATGGCGGAGACCGTCTGGAACACGGACACCGGGGAGGCTGTGTACCGCTCCCGGGACCCCGTGCGCAACTTGCGCCTCCGGTAGTCGCCGCGTCCCGGAGCCCCGTGCTTTTATGCTCTCAGATAGCTCGAGCCTGAACTTCACCTCTCGGTGCTCGGCGCCCCCACTTTTGCCTACGACCCTGAGCACTGCCTCCGCGGCCTCCCCGCGTCTCCCTCTCCGCCCTCAGCTCCCAGACCTAACCGAGCCCTCCCAAGGTCCTCGGATCCCCGTGTCCCCAGGACAGTCTCAGCCTCACCCTTCCTCCTAGGGGTGGTGAGCAGGGTGCGGCTCCTCAGTTGCGTGCGCCCCGCACACCTTGGTAGCCCCACCCTTTTCTGTGTGTCCCCCATCTTATGCTCATCGGGTTGTGTGTGTTTTAACGATTATTGTGGGCCTCTCTTTTCCTGACAGGGTCCACTTGCAAAGAATCACATCAAGCAACTTCCTCCATTACCAGCCTGCCACCCAGTGCGGGAAGGACCTCATAGACTTGGGCACTCTGAGGCCTCCCCCAACCGCAAGTGGGTGTATGGTGGTGACCGGTCCCCCTCGGGTGTCTGGGAAGGGCCTGGGGTGGTAGCTGCTGCTTAAGACAGAAAAGGCTGTAGTCTGAGAAAAGGCAGAGACGTTAGGTTCCTTGCCCAAAGTCACATGGCTGGTAAATGTTGAAGTCAGGGTTTGATTAGGCATTTCACCTGCTATATTATGTTGTGTCTGAAAATGGAATAAGACATGATTCCTGCCATTAAGATACTGATCTTTTTTTTTTTTTTTAAATATATCTTTATTGATTTCAGAGAGAGGAAAGGAGAGGGAGAGAGAGAGATGGAAACATCAATGATGAGAGAGTCATTGATCAAGAGCGCAACCGGGCATGTGCCCTGACCGGGAATCGAACCCCCGGATCGCCTGGATCCTAGGTCGATGCTCGACTGCTGAGCCACGCCCGGCTGGGCAAGATACTGATCTTAATTGTAGTTAAATGTGGTGAAACAACAAATACCATACTTTAGATGTGTTATAAATTTTTCCTGGTAACCTAAATTCCATTTGTGGCTTTTTTTTTTCCCCTAAGAAAAAATATCCTCCAAATTCTAAGTATACATATAAACACTTTTAAAAACAATTTAAAAATTGGGGTCTGCTTGAAAAATGTGCATATTAACATCAACTGTGCTCTTGCAGTTTTCCTTATCTGGGAAGGCAGAAGAGTGAACTGTGCTTGTTTTAGGCCACTAGTCTCTTATGCTTTTGTTTCTGTTAAAAATAGTCCTGAACAAGAAGAGTGTGGGCTGGTGGGTTGTGAAGCATGTGTCTCTGGAAAAGGCATTCTCAGCCAGGAATGTATTTGGTTCTTTGTATAATCATCTATTTGCCTTTCCTCTTCTTTCCTGATACTTGGTCCTAAGGTTACAGTGTTTGTGATTCTGGATGTATGGCTTCAGGAATAGTAAAGATGAAAATGCCAGGGTTTCTTTTAAGCAAATGTAGACAATTGGGATTGAGGAAGAGCTATTCAGCCTCGATCTAAATTTCAGCTACTGACACTGCATTAGATGAAGTAATTCCTGGAAGGCATGTCTTCCTTTTATTCAAATTAGAGTAGTGATTAACACTTCGTGTGTCTTAATCCTGGCTTCTATTCATCCACAGCTTCTCCAACCTTTGCCTAGAGTGATTACTTAATAAGTCACTGAACTCCAACTTGTTTTGTGGCAGACATAAGAGCAGGGACTTAGATGATAACCAACCATAGGACAAGAAGTGGTGCTGGTTTTGCTCAAACATTTGACTCACCCTGTTGTCTTTGGAGGTGGACACCGCCCAGATGAAGATGAAGAGGAGGAGGTTGTGATTGGGTGGCAGGAGAAGCTCTTTAGCCAGGTGAGCAAATGTCACTTGTCTACTCAGTCTACCTCCACCCAGTCCACCTCCACCTGGCTGGTAGCAGGGAAAGATTATTGATACAGATTGCCAAACCAATTTCCAGAAAGCTTGTAGCAGTTTATATTTCCTGTTATGTTAACAGGGGCAGTGTAGCATAGTGACTTCCATTACCCAATTTTATGATCCTGGGTGAGGCACTTTTCATCTCTGGGCCACATGCCATCAGTATCAGCAGAGTTGGATTAGACCATCACTCTGGTTCCTTTTAGCTCTTACATCCTTTGGATCCCCTGCCCTCAATTATTTTAAATAAATAAGAGTTGGCTATGAAAATATGTCAGACTGTATCAGCTCTATAGAACTGTTTTAATTAAGCAGTTATAGGAACAAAAGTTTGACCTAGTCTCAGTAGATCTCTCTTTCCTTGTGACCTCAGTTTGAAGTAGATCTGTACCAAAATGAAGCAGCTTGTCAGAGCCCTTTGGATCATCAGTACCGTCAAGAGATCCTGAAGCTGGAAGGTTCAGGTAGAAGGAAGAACCGACGAATCTTTACCTACACTGACTCTGATAGATACACCAATTTGGAGGAGGTATTGTTCTTTCTGAGGTCCCATAGCTTCCTTCTCCTTTGCCTCCCTGAGCTTTCTGGCCTCACTGGGTTCTGTGAGTTAAATCAGGAGTCTGTTAAGGGGTGACAGAGCCTGTCTAGGAACTGCCTTGTGCTGCTGGCAGGCAAGCTGGAGTAGAGCAGGCACAGTCTACAGGTGGTGTGGCTTCTGCTCTCTTCCGTGCTGGAGGGCCTGGAGGAGCTTGCAGGGTCTCTAAGGATAGGCTTGCAGGCTGCAAACTGGGAGAAGGAGCCACTAGGCTTGACTTCCTCCATGCTTCATAAGATAAGACAAGTGGGTGGAGTCTAGAACCATGTAGATCAGTGATTTTCAACCTTTCTCATCTCATGGCACACATAAACTAACTACTAAAATTCTGTGGCACACCAAAAAGCATATTATATTTTTTGCTGATCTGACAAAAAAAAAAAAAAAGTATATTTTGCTTCATTCACACTGGACAGCTATTGTTGTGTTGGCTGTTGTCATTTTTTTATTTGACAATCTAAGGTAAAAGAGGTCAGTGCCCCTGACTAAATTAGTCAAGTATTACATGTTTTAAAAATTTTTACTGTACACTTGTTGAAAATTGCTGATCTAGATGAAATTCACCAGAGGATTCAGCCAAAACTCTGAGTGTATATGTTTGAAGAGGAATTCAGTACAGCCAATGGCTTATGTCCTCAGTTTCCCTCAATTATGCCAACATACCCTGGTGGACTTGTTTAACACTTTCTTCAGTCATTACCTGATATGGTCTGTCTTCTCAGCGAGATTTTAAACTCCTCGAGGGAGGGTAGAGCCTCTATTTTCTGAGTTTTGTCTACAACCTTGTAGATCTCTGCAAGGAACAGTTGTTAAGTGAATGTTTTTGAAAGATTGATGCCTCTATTAGGAAAGCTGTGGGTTGGTAGCATATAAAATTTGGGTTGTGTGTTTTGGAAAAGTGAATAAAATTACAGTTAGTGCTCAGTTCCCATGCGAGGATTTTCCATGGAATACTTGTATCCCATTTGGCATCTTCCAGTTGCCTAGTTAATGTCAACATCTACCAGGCAGGCTCACCCAACTTTTTGCTGGTACGTGCTCGGAAATTGCAGGCTCATTTTAATATTAGCATAAACAGACTCACTTCTGAAGGTTAATATGCTGCTAATTTCAGGGCAAACCAAGGTGTGGTAGGAATCTTCTTTGGCTTGTTTGTGCCACTCCTCCCCTGCATTAGCATGTATGTTATGAGGAATAATTTTAGGTTCAGGTCCCTAATGAGGTTTCAGAAGGAAGACTTCCCTTTGGGTAATTGGTCCCATGTGGCTCTGACCAGCTGGATTACACAAGGATGCTCTTTCTTCCCAGCACTGTCAGAAAATGACCACTGCAACCAGGGAGGTGCCATCATTCTTGGTTGAGCGAATGGCAAATGTCAGGCGGCGACGGCAGGACAGGCGACGGATGTGAGTGCAAGTGTGCATGGGGGCTCTAGGGGGGCCTTTGTGCTCCTTCCATACCTTTGTTCTCGGTATGTCCAACAACTCAGGCTTCCCGTTCTGTAGCAGACCTCCACCTGGGCGTGCTCCCCCAAGCTTTTTGGGGGGCCCCAGGGAAATGACCCTTCCTATGGTGTCTCCCAGGGAAGGTGGCATCCTCAAGTCACGAGTTGTCACCTGGGAACCCTCAGAAGAGTTCATCAGGAACAACCATGTCATCAACACCCCTCTTCAGACAATGTACATTATGGCAGACCTGGGGCCCTATGGAAAGTGAGTGAAGCTTCTCCCTGCCCAGCCCAGAGGCTCACCATCGTCTTCTCTCACTAACTGTCACCTACCTGCTGTAGTTATCCTGGGGTACATGGGAGGGAGGGGCTTCCTTGCTTTTCATTCTTCTTCGTTGTTCTCAGAAGAAAGTAGTTTACTGTGATAATTTTTACTGCAGCCTCTGTCCTCTCTCCTGATGTGTTCTGATTACCTACCTCTTCTTTCCCTGGAGGTGGGACCAGTGATCCTGATGCTGGTTCCCTGCTTTCCAGGCTTGGCTATAAGAATTATGAACATGTCCTCTGTACTCTGAAGGTGGACAGCAATGGTGTGATCACAGTAAAACCTGACTTCACTGGCCTCAAAGGACCCTACAGGTGAGGAGGGAAAGAAAGGGCTGGCAGAGACTGGCGTTTTTTTCTCTTGGCTTCCCTTCTTGCCCCGAGCTGGGGAGATGCTCAGAAAGCCCTTCATCTGTTCTGACATTTAAGTTCCCAGGTACTGGTTCATGTTCTATTCTGGGTCATTGACCCCTAGGATATTGGGGATCCTCTTCTCAGGAAATGTGCAACTACACCAATTCAAAAGTGACAGCTTCAGTAGTGTGGTTAAGTGAAAATAATTCTCTGTGCCCTGAATATAGGGACTAACCAGAACAGGGTGATGAACTCAGCCAGGGCTTTTCCTCTGGGCTTATTGTTTTCCCTTTTCATGTCCTGGAATAATAGGACTGTAAATTAGAAATTACCTAGACTCTCCTGTCCGTTTCTGAGGTGAGAAAACTGGGTGACAGGGATGTCATGCTTTAGGGTTTCACCGTGACTTTGAGGCAGAAATGGTCCTGGAACCTATACTCTCTGAGTCTAGTCTGGTGCCCTTGCTTTACCGTTTCCCTCTCCCAGTCATCATTCTGGCCATTGTTGTCATCATATACTCTAAGTGAGGTGTGGGGCCAGTGATGGCTCATCCCTGGGCTAGGTCTTGGAGGGCCCCTTCCCTTGTTATTAGAGCTGGTCTTTTTGTGGCTTTGACCTCACAGAATTGAGACTGACGGGGAGAAGCAGGAGCTGTGGAAGTATACAATCGACAATGCGTCCTCCCTCGCACAGCCGGAGGAGGAGGAGCGGGAGCAGCGTGTGTTCAAGGATGTAAGAGCCAATTCATCCCTAGTACCACAGGGGTGAGCCTCAGCACCTGGGAGCTGAGACCATGTCCGAGGTTGATGTCAGCAGTCGCTAGGTCTGCTCTTAATGGCTCTCTCCTGACTTAGGAAGCATTGCCAACATATCAAACCCAAGTGTGTGTTAGAACATCATCATCATCATCATGAACATTTATTTGAATGTTTACCGTTCTCTTGGCTAGGTATTTCACATACTTTATTTCATTTAGACCGTATAACAACTCTTTGAGGTAATTACTTTTATTACTACCATTTCTAAGTGAGGAAACAGGCTGAGAAGCTAAGCAGCCTGTCTAGGGTCATGTAGCTTGTACGTGTGAGAGCCAGGACTCGGTCCCAGGCCAGTGGATTCTACAGCCCCTGTGTTTCACTTTAAATGTCAGTGGCTGGGACTTAGGCCTCCAGTTCTCTGTGGTATTTCCCATTATTGCTTTTTTTCTCCCATTCTGAACTGAACTCTGGTCTGGCTTGGGTCACATCTTGGGTTTTGGTTTGGTTTCCTTCTGCAGCTCTATGGCCGGCACAAGGAGTATCTCAGCAGCCTCGTGGGCACTGACTTTGAGATGGTGAGTGCTTGGCTTCCTGCAGCACTGTGAGCGGGGTTCAGGCAGAGCATTCTGACTGCAGCTGAGTCGTAGAGCCTCTCTTAAAGGTCCCCAGGACATACCGTACTCTTCAGTATCAAAGAAAGTAAAAAAGAACATACAGAGAATAGTCCTTGTTGATGTTTTTAAAACATTGCATATTATTATAGAACTGTTGGTACATAGAAAAGGCCTTAAAGGGTACACACATGCTGTGGGTGGCTTCTTCTGGGGAGAGGGTGGGACTGGGAGATAGGAGATGAATCCTGGGTGCCAAGAGCAATATGTCAGGGGGTGCTTGTTTTTACTCTCTACACTTAACGTCGTTTTGAATCTCTTCAGTGGTAATGCATTCATGTATTGCTTTATAATTGATTTTAAAAATAAATATAAAGATGGAAATATCTTCCTCACTTCACGTGTATATTTTCCTAAGGGCCCCATAGAGAGGGAAGGGGTGTTGGTTCTGTTTGTCAGATAGTTTGGCTCTTTAAAAACTAAACAAAACAGTTTAGGTCACCTTTTTTATGGCCCTATTCTTGGTGTCCCCTCATTCCAGGAGCTCCATTTCTAAATCTGGAAACAAGGATAGGATTACCCACTGGTCTCCCTCTCTCTCTCTAAAAATTTAACTTTTATTAGTTTCATATTGCATTAGCAACAGATGGTCAGGTTATAAAGTTAGATAAGATAGCTATACAAATACCTAAATTGTGAAACTCCCTAGTTTCTTGACCTCAGCCATCAAGGGGGAACAGGGTCTCCAGCCTCCCAGCACACACTGAAGGACAGCTGTTATGGCCTCCCCTGGATAATCTAAATTTCCCATGCTGTGTTGCCCTCCCTACCATTTAAATTATGTACTTTTTTTTCTACATTACAAATTTTAGATATTTTGGGAAACATCTACGAAGTTGCAGGGTGAGAAGGAAATGCATTTAGGGACACATCCAGATCTGACATCCAATGTCAGGTCTTCCGGGGATTTGTGGGCAGGTTGGAGAAGTGCTGATTCCCTCCACACCTCCTGATCTGTCCTACTTCTCTCTACCTTAGACTGTCCCAGGTACCCTCCGGCTCTTTGTAAATGGAGAGGTAGGTAAGTGTCTTGCCACACACAGATCTCTTAGGCTTTATCACATGCCCCGATGGAGCTGTGAAGTAGTCCACCTAGCTCCAATGGAGGCCTTGGGTTGTCTGCAGTACTTGGAAAACTCAGCCATGAGTCTTTCCTGGAAACACAAGAGAGTTTCTGGCCCTTGAGAGACTTCCGGAAGTGTATAGATCCTTTAGGACTGGGTGGGTGCCAAGGAGGATAGGAGAATAGGCTGAAATAGTTTCCTGTTTTCTTAGTTTCAGCCCAAGGCTATGAGTATGACAATCTCTACGTCCACTTCTTTGTGGAATTACCAACTACTCGTAAGTAATATTCATAAGTCTCTTTTTTATACCCATCCTGAAAGTTTTCTACAGGCATCTGGTCAGGCCTCCTTCCCTGCTCTTGCATCAAAACTGTTATTGTTCTTTTCATGGCCATAGATGGCTTCCAGTTTGTCAGATCCCATGGCGACCTCTCTGCTTTCACCTTACTTGACCTCTCAGGAGCATGTGACACGGCTCACTTTTCCTCCCTGAAACTTTTCCCTTGGCTTCTGGCTCCATACTTCTCTCTTTGCTCTCTTGGGCAGATCATCAGCCTCCTTGGCTGATTCTTCATCTTCTATTCATCTTAAACTTTTCCAGTATCCAAGGCTGGGCCTTTTCAGGACCATTTCCTGTGTCTGAACCCCTTTCTGTCACATCTTTGCACTACTGGTTCTTCCTGAGTTCAGGCCTCGGCCTAAGTGTCACCTCTGAGAGGTCATCCCTCACCACTCAGTCTAAATGGACCTCCAGGCCACTTGGTTCCTTCACCCCGTTTTAGTTTAGTGCAGCATCGTACACCACCTAATAGCCTCTTGTTGGTTGTCAGTCTCCCTCCCATGAGAAGGTTAGGTCCATGAGACACAGGGATCTTTTCTGTCTGGTCACCGAGATATCCCCAGTGACTGGTCATGGCATAGAGTAGACACTCAGTAAATGTTAAGTGAATGATTGATCGAGTGAATGAGTGGATGAAGGAACTTTGTCTCTTTCTCAACTACTTGCCCTCCTCCCAGGTAAATTTACTATCTATTGTCTATGGCTTTCAGACTGGTCAAGCCCAACATTCCAGCAGCTCTCAGGAATAACACAGACCTGTGCCACCAAGTCCCTGGGAATGGTATGGAAAACAAGAGGGGGTACCTGGAAGGGAGTAGGGCTCTGATCCATCTGAAGATTTATCAGGCCAACAGCCACCCCCGCCAGGGAAATTCAGAGTTGGGTGTAGCCCTCCTGTGGCGGCTCTGCAGGGTTGCTAGTCCCAGGGTCCTCTTGCTGCTTTGGGGGGAATGGGAGCAACTTCTAACTGGGTGTCCCTTTGCCTAAGCCTTTTATTTCCTACCTGGGTGATAGTTTTTCTTTCCCCCTCTGAAGGTGACCTTATTGGCCATGGAGAATAAATCTCAGGTGAGGCCTTGCCTACCCCATGACACTGAGTATAAAATGACGCTCCTCTTTTTAGGACAAGGTGGCCTACTTCTCCTATCCATTCTCATTTGAGGCCTCCTTCCTCCATGAGGACGAATCAGCTGGTGAGTAGCTCAGCAGCTGATCCTGGGCCTCGGGCCTCCTCAGTGGTGCCCCTTCTAGGGGAGGGCCTCCCAGGACCCAGCTGTTTCTCTCCCTTGCTTGCAGAGGCTCTCCCGGAGTGGCCAGTGCTCTACTGCGAGGTCCTGTCACTGGACTTCTGGCAGAGGTACCGTGTGGAAGGCTACGGGGCTGTGGTGCTGCCCGCCACCCCAGGTGACCTCTTGTCCCTGCCCTTCCTGTGGCCCCCATGCCCTAGCTCCTAGGAACAAGACTAGCTCTCCCAAAAGATCCATCCGCTTCCAGGGAGAAGTAGGGATAATTAGGAATTAGAAGCATTTAACTTGCAAGATTCCTTGCTCCTGTTGAGGAATTTCCTCCCTTCAACTGAGTGGAGTCGACAACTAACTGTGAAGTCGAGCAGCCTGAGTGTCTGGAATCTGCTCTGTGCTCCTCTGATTTGACCTGCAGCCTTGAGGGAGAAGTTGCATGGCAAAGTGGCTCAGCGTTCACTTTAAGATAATAGCCACTGTCCCTTATTGTGTGCCAGGCATTATGCTGAGTGCTTCCATTTAGTTCTTCCAGCTGTTCTGTGAGGTGCAGGCGGTGGTGGTATTTTCATTTTACTAGGTGAGAATGAGGCTCAGAAAGGTTAAGAAACTTAACCTGGGTACAGGGGTAATAATGGGAGGAGCTGAGATTTCCATTTCGGATTAATTTCCAAACACGGCCCTAAACTACTGCTATGATAATCTTCACCAGACATCAGACTGTCACCAGAACAGGTGTTGTAGTGGTGACTAGGCCAGTGTCACTGTTGGGGAGTCAGCAAAGAATGACGTGCCCCTTCTGGCCCTGGCCTCATTGCCCTCTCCCTGCGCAGGCTCACACACCCTGACAGTCTCCACGTGGAGACCCATGGAGCTTGGCACAGTGGCTGAGCTGAGGAGGTTTTTCATTGGTGGTTCCCTGGAACTGGAGGACCTCTCCTATGTGCGGATCCCAGGAACCTTCAAGGTGATTTTTGTCTCTGCAGAAACTTCATGCTGGAAACTTATGTTCCCGTCTCACCTACAGCAGGTGGGATCTGGGTTAGGCCCCTTAATTGTTCATTGCTTCATTATTAGCCCCTTCCTTCCTGTTTCTTAAGCCATGTTTTGAGCCAGGTACAAATATCTCCACTGCTGTCCTAGGAGGTCTCTGGGAAATAGCATACTTGAGGTTCCCCTTGGTCCCTGTCAGAATAACCAGCCCCTCCTTCCAGCCCATCACCGAGGCCTTGACAACCAGAGGTGGGGAGGGTGAGCAGGAAGCTTGCAAGACTAATTCTCAGTGAGGTTGGAGTGGCCCCTGCTTTACAGTTAGGAGCCAGTGTTTGCCTTGAGGTGATGGAGTCTGGGTGCTGGAATGAGGTTTCCACAACGGCTGTTTTCCCCAAGAACGGGAATGGGAGAGGGGGCGAGGCCAGCACGGTGCCTGGGGTCTGGAGACTGCAGAACCCATGCTGTCTAACTGCCACAGGGGGAGCGTCTGAGCCGCTTTGGGCTCCGCACAGAGACCACTGGTAGTGTCACCTTCCGCTTACACTGTCTGCAGCAGTCCAGGTGAGTGATCCTGGCCCTCTGCCTTGGGGCTCTTCATCCCTGGGGTCTGGAGAGAGCCTTGGCCATGTGGCACGCTCCCCTGCAGGGCCTTCATGGAGTCCAGTTCTCTCCGGAAAAGGGTGCGGAGCGTGTTGGACCGTCTGGGAGGATTTAGCCAGCAGAGTTCCATTCACAATGTACTGGGTAGGTGCCCCGTCCTGCCCACTGGCCACCCGGGGTCAGCATGGGCCATGGCAGCTGACTACTGTGTTTGCTTCCAACCCAGAGGCCTTCCGCCGCGCCCGGCGCCGCATGCAGGAGGCCCGAGAAAGCCTTCCCCAGGACCTCCTGAGCCCCTCGGGAACCTCGGTCTCCTAGCCTGTGGTAGCTCTGTCCCTCCGTGCAAGAGGACAAGAAAAGTGACAGCTAAGGCTGCGTTTCTCCCTCCTCCTCTTCTTTCCTATTGGAGACCTCCCGAGAACCGGAAGAACTGAGAAAATGCCCAGGCCCGCCCCTCTGCCTAGTCTTCTGCAGGGCTTTCTCCCTGCCTTGTGTCAGTGAAGCCCAAGACCCTGTGGCCCCCATATTCATATTTCAGCTACTGCAAGTGGGCATCGCAACAAGGCATGTTTTTCGGTTTGAGACTAGTTTGGGAAAACCCCATAGTAAGTTCTGTCCTCGACACAGCCCCTTCTCTGGCTTGTCCGTGGTCTCAGTAGCCGTGGGCTGCAGGGTGCTGCCTTCTCCACAACCTCTTCACAGATGGTGGCTCAAGAAGGCAGGAAAGCGAGACCTTAAATTCCCAGCCCAGGAGTCAGCCTCTCCTCTCCAGGGTAGCCGCGTCTGCGTGAGGCTTGTTTTTTTTGTGATACAACTATTTCTGGAGAAAATGAAGGCTGAAGACACTGCCCAGTCTTTTCTGCTGACTGGGTGATATCTTTTATTGTGTTTTTTATACATAAAAGCTTTTTATACTGACTGACATTCTGTTGGCTGTTTCTCTGCTCAGGTGGCTGGTGTGGTTGAGGTATTCTAATGTTGGGGCCCCTGTGCTGCCGCCCTTCCCCTTTGCTGCTCTTTTCTACTCCAGAGTGTTTCTTTTGATTCTCTTAACTCAGCCCCCAGGAGAGGCTTAGAGGCGAGTGCAGCTGGGCCTTAGCAGCAGTCCCCTTAACAAGCACAGCAAAGCATGGGAGGAGGCCACACCCTCCGTAGCCCAAAGCAGAGACTGGCTCCTGCCCTCAGCAGTGTTTTATTGGCAGAAGCAGAGCAGGCCACCCAGCCTGCAGGCTCCGAGGAGGACTGTGGGGCCTCCCAGTCATGGGCAGAAGTCAGGGATGGGCTGGGAACAGTAAGAAAATGGCTAGAAACCCTCCAGTTAACATCTTGCATAGGCTCCAAAACCTCATTGTTTGGCTCCCAAGGCAGGTTCATTGCTGCTGGGCACCCTAGCTATCCCTCCTAGCCAGAGAACCAGCTCAGAGCTGCAGCCAGCAAAAGCATCAGGATATGGTTTGTTCCAGGGGAAAAAGTAAACTCGTGGTCTTCCCCAGCTTCCCTCTCTCCAAGGTCAGGGGCTTGGGACAGAGTCCTGCGGAAGCAGCAGAAGTGGACATGTGAGGAACTTGCTGGACATCCAGAGATGAGCTGTTTCAGGGTGTTTATGACTAAGCCAAGGCTAGCTGGGTCCTTCCTAAACATCCCCCCCAAAGTTCTAGGCCCTGGATGGGATTAACTGTCAGCCCAGAAGCTAGCATACTGGGAGGCCACTAGGAAAGAGTACCCTGCCCCCAGTGACAAGTTCTGTTGTCCCTGCTTAGAGGCCTAAGAGGACTCAGCCATCCCATCTGGAGAAGGAAGTGAGGGCCTGATCCCACCCAGGGCTCTTGGGGAAAGCCTCCCCTTACCTGCAGAGGCCTCATTTGCCTTTCCAGGCTGACAGGTTCAACCTGGGGATTTGGCTGCAATGCACAAAGCCCCGGGGGTAGGTGTTGGCCCTGAAGATGTCCTTTGGAACCACGGTGATACCGGTATTGTCACACACAATTCGAGACAAGGAAATCTGCCTCAGGGCTCTGCGCTGACTCTTGGTGAAAACACCTTGTTTCTCCCACCAGAACCTGCCAAGACAGTTGAGAGATGTGGGTGAAGGTTGGGGAGGAATTAGCATATAGTGAGCACCTGTTGTGTGCTAGGTACATCGTCATTCAGTTCTCAAAAATGTCCTGCAGAATAGGTATTATTCCCATTTTACAAATGAAGAGAGCAGTGCAGTGGTCAAGTACATTGCCCGGTATTAAGTACACAGTAACTTAAGTGGCCAGGGCTGGATTTGAACCTAGGAAAAGGCCAAGTCCAAATAAGGTCTTAAACCACAAACTTATTGGAGGGAAACCAGGTGTAGCCCTTTCTGCCCATGTTTTCCAGGATTGTTTAGTGAGGCTGTGGGAATGGAATAGCAAGGCCGAGAAGCCGCCTGGGTTAGAGGTGCTTACAGCTCAGGCAGTGTCAGCCTCCCTGGGTCAGTGGTCTCGCTCCCTCTGACCAAGCTCTCCAGGAGCCTGCTGGTCTCAGATTTTGTGATCTTGGAAGAAATGAAGCTAAAAAGAGCACTTTCCCTCATTGTTGGGTCTGTGAGTGCTAGTGCTTTTCCTCCCTGCCCTAGGGCTGGTTTTAGGGTCGGGTCACTTACCTGTCTCCACTTCGGGCTCTTGTGAACTGGTTCTCAAAAAGACAAGCCAAAAGCGGCCCCACGCGGGCCCCCGGCAAAAGAGGCTCAGCAATGGCCCCCATCCAGATGTCAATGTTGTCAGGAGTCCCGTACAGCTGCAGGAACTTCCTTGCTAAACCGTGGTTTTTCAGCACTCGACTAAGCTGTGCCAGATTCCTGGGCTGGGAGAGCCCACAGAAGCGCCGCCAAGCATTGTACCCTGAGGGGAAGGGGGCAGAAGCAGTTTCAATTTTACCCCTGCTGTCCTCCCATTAGCTCCTGCTTCTCTCCACATTTCTCCTGAGAGCTCTGTGGTCAGGCAACATGAGGCAGAATAGGAGCCCTTAAGGCAGAAGAGGCCCCTACCCAAAGACCAAATGCCAGCGGACAACCATACTTTGTGTGCATCAAACTGAGGGCTGCATAGCACTTAAGACAGTACCTAGAACACAAGAGACTCAATCCAGTTTGTCGAATGAGTGAATCAGTGAAGAAATAAGTGAGTGAACAAGACAAGGAATGAAAAGCATGGATAAACTTTACTCGGAAAAGAACCACCTGCTATATAATCCCATTATAGGAAAGGTTCAGAACAGGCAAATATGTAGAGACAGAAAGATTAGTGGTTGTCAGGGGCCGGGGTGGGAGTGGGGACTGATTGTTGTTATGAGGTTTCTTTTGTGAGTGATAAAAATGTTCCAATATTAGATATGGTAACTGATGCACAACTCTATACTAAAGTCATTGAACTGTATACTTTCTGTGGGTGAATTTTAGATGTTAATTACATATCAATAAAGCTGTTTTTAAGTTTTTTCACCTACTCAGAAACTGCCAAAGACTAGCCATGCTGATTTCTCAGCTATCAGGATCTCATACCAGAATCAGGTCACCTGATGTGGTGGGACCATCAATAGGAGATGGCTTGGCCATAACCTGAAGGAACACTAGCCCAACATCATTCATTGAACTACAACTCACAAGCACCATCCCCCAGCTGAACAAAGGAAAGCCATGTCATGTTTTACCAGTGCTAAGCTCTGTTGCGTGGATATCAGGATCCTCCCAACCTCTCTGTGTAATCCCCATTTTATCAATGGATACTTGTTGAGCTTCAATACCCATGACTTTTCCAAGGTCACTCACTACTGTTAAGTGGAGTTCAAACTAGGTCTTCCAGTTCCACATTTGGTGTTGGACCTTGGAAGGATTAGAATAGACTGCAAGAGGTGATACCAGAAAAATATTTCTGGGACAGCTTGCAGGGAACAGGCTTTGAGGGAACAGAATCTCTCTGTGGCATCTTGGGTGGTGAGCAATATCAGTTCTCCAGCAGGGGGTGCCAAAGCTCTTTGGCTGTCAGGAGCACCCAAGTGCCATGAAGGAAAGAAACTGGTTCTGGAGTGCCTGCTGTGGGCCTGCCAGGTGCTCGCAAGTGCAGCAGAAACTCCCCCCACTCTGTTATAACACAAAGATTAGTTTAGGCAGATGGAGCTTCGGGTTGTATGTGGACAGGAAAGTAGAAGGTGGGGAGGAGAGAGGAGCAAGGTGGTGGCCAAAGCCCTCCCCCAACATTGTGGATTGAACAGGAGGAAGAAAGGAGAAATTTTGAATTTGATTCAGATTTTACTACTCCTTAGTTTTGTGACATTGGGAAAATTGCTGGGTGTCTCTGAGCTTATTTCCTTTTCTATAAAAGTGACTGTGGTCACTGGGAAGACTAAATGAGTTAATATCCATGGGAGCTCCTAGCAAAATGCCTAATTTGTCTTCTTAACCTGGAACAAAGCTTTCTGTGTCCTCACCAAACAGCCAAGGCAGCCTTAACTTCACTCCACCCTGCCTCAGGCTCTGCCTTTCTCCACTTAGAGCCAGAAGCCAGTTTCTCTGTCCCTGAAACTTTAGCCTTTCCCCTTGGAACTTGCCAGGGTGCTGGGGAATGCAGCGGTTCTCTCTGCCTTTTATATCTGTTTCTCTCTACTTGGAAAATCCTTATCGCCTTTGCTCATCCCCCGTGCCCAGGTCCTGGTACTGCTGTGAACCTAAAGCTAAGACCCTGAAACAGATGGAGAAGTGGCAGGACAGCAAAAGTGGTCCCAGGAAGGCTCTACGGCATCAGCCTTGGCCTTGCGTGCCTCTGAGCCACAGCACCTTCTGTAGACAGTCCCAGGCACCAAGAGCCTTCTCTGAAACCTGCCCCCACCACACCACCAGCAGAAGCCCTGGTGCAAGCGAAGCCTGGGAGAAGGGGTGGGCAGCCCCTCACCTGGGAGACCATGGTCCCGGCTGCGTTGCATGTTGAGAGCCGCCAGGTCCAGCCCGATCCTTCTCACTTGCCGAAACAGCTGATCCCGGAGCTCATCCACTAACATGGAATCCTGCCGGTTCAGCTTGGCTGGGGTGGCCATGAGGCCCCGGAGGAGGGGGTCGATGCCACCTGGGGGCGGGGAATGTGAGAGCACACATTGGACCAGCCTCTGGGAAGCCCAAGTAGCTCAGAGCTGGATAAGCCAGTCGCTCATGTTCTGTAATGATTATTTCAGAAAATAGAGGCCTGGGTGGACATGAAGAGAGCCAAGGCTGTCAGGGAAATGGTCACACCTACTTAAAGGGAGGGAGGGCAAGCTTCTTTCAGGCCCACAAGCCGCCAGTCTGACATTAGTCTCCTCTTTAGAAACCCCTAATCCCAGAGGGGATGGGAGGCCCATGACAGGGTCTTGGTGGGACCTGCCTTGTTTTCACTGTCCTGGGGAGATGATTAGCGGTGGCCTGAGCAGCAGCTGGCCTCCTGGCAGTAGGCTTGGCCCAACTGGGGGAGGGTGTGCTCCCCAACCCCACTCCCTTCTGCCTCTGGAAAACCTGGTCACCTTCATGCACAACTCGCCAGCTGGCAAAGAAGGTAGAGCTGAGCAGGACACGGGAATTGGGTGCTGAGGCCTGGTATCGGCTGTCCAAGCGGAACAAGAAGGGCTGGAGCATGGTGTGCCCAAAGCGGAAGGCCAGGGTGAAGACATTGGCCACACGAGGGTCCACATTGGAGCAATACCCCCTGTAGGACCCCAGGGTTCTCCTGGCCCGCTCCTTGCCCAGAACCAGGGGCAGATAGTCTCGGTAGGTGATGATCTGGAAGAGAAGACGTAGGAGGAAATTACCTTAGCAGCTGCTTACCCCACACCCTTACCTTTGGACAGAACTTTGGCTTTTCAAAGGGATGCTCAGGCGTGTTAATTCTTGAATGTCATCATGTCAAATGTAGCAATATTAGTTTCCCATTGGCTGATGGAGATGCTGAAGCCCAGAGAGGCTGAATGACATGCAGAGGGTCACACCGTGAGTTAGTGGCAGAATTGGGGGTATAGGCCAGCTCTCAGGTATACACACAATCACTCAGACCTGACTTACTTGAGACACATCCCCAAGGATGTGGTAAAGAGGGCGGGAGCCACTTTTTCAGACTGCTTCTCATGCCAGATTTCCTTCTAGGGGATGCTAGGACCCAGGGCTTCTTACCTGGACCATGGCCCCCACAATCTTCCGAGCCTCATGGTAGAGCTTGTCTCCAGTCCACTGGGGATTCTGGCGTCTCAGCTCAGTAGCCAGCCGGTTGTGCTCCCTCATAAAGAGGGTGTGCATAGCTGCCAGGAAGGGGGTTTCGCTTGATCGAGAGTCACCTTGAAAACCACAAGTTCAGAATCACTATAGCTCTTCCCAGAGAAATGTCCTTCTGCTACAGCAGACAGAGTTTGGGGGACTAGAGAAAGGTGGTGGGACTTCCCGACCTGGGCCAAGCTCCTGGCCCTCATGGCCCTCCATCTCCTCACTGTCCTGTGGGGCAGCTCACTGACCGCCACCCTCTTCCCCAACACAACGGGTCAGGAGGGGAGGACAGCAGGGTCTCGGATCCCTAAGTGACTGGAACAGGTTCGGGTGAGGTAGGAAAAAAAGCACAGGGCAGCTGCCCGTCTCAGACAGGAAAGTCTTTGCCTAATGATTCTGTTCCACAAGATGACCAGATCCACAGCTGGTGGGGGGACCTGGATGACTCTAGGAACCTTGACTTGGGACCATGAGCTTTCCTGTCCCATGAACTGCATCCATGTGCATGTTCTCTACTGAGGACAGGACCTTCCCCCAGCTTTGGACTTGCTCTTACGCAGCAGGGAGGGTTGGGCAGAGCCTCTTCCTGTAGCCAGGCCTCCTCCTTGAGGCCAGGAAGCAAAGTAGATTCCTGAAGGTGGACCTTACTCACAGGCATTTGCTGGCTTTGAACTAAGCCTTTTTGTACAAGGCCTTATTTAATCCACTCTTCAGTAGACCTCTCATGAAGGTGCAAAGAAAAAAACCCCACGATCCTTTAAAAAGGGGCTGGAGCTAACTCCCCACGAAAAAGGTGGTGGAATAGAGTGGAAAGAGCACAGGCCTGGACACTACCCTGACTTGAGTGCCCACTGTGGACTCTGCCATCTGAACTCTGTGCTCTGGATACATTAGTCATCTCCCCTGAGCCCCAGTTTCTCATCTATAAAATGAGGGTGATTATAGTGGCCTCCTGTCAGGGCTGCCATAAGGATGAGAGATGGCAATTTAAATATCTTAAATAACCAGAAAGGACGCCAGTTATCATAACCAGCACATGGGGGCAAAGAGCCCTGGGAGGGTTCAAATTGTGCATCCGGAAGAAGGTATCAGGTACCAGTGTCTAGCAACAGTGGGGGTGAGGGGGGAAAAACCTAAGGGAATTCAGCCCAGAGAAGAAAACAACGCAGGCGGAAATAAAGCTGCTTTCCAGTAAAGAGGTTATTAGTGAGTGAACTTCTCTGAAGTTCCAGAAACACAATGAACAGCAATAGGTGGGTGTTGGATCAAAATGGGGGTCCTTTCTACCAGCCAGCGCTGCTGGAGATAAACAGGTGTTTGCAAAGGGACCCTTGACAACCTACGGATCCTGTGACAACTACAGATGTGCTATGATGTGCCTACTATTGAGGTCTGTAGACATGTACCCCACCGCATCCCAAGCCCAGAACCCAGGGCCTGGTCATATCTAGGGAGACACCACCTTGCCCCCGTCTGACCTGCCAGGAAGCAGGGGATGCGCGCCGAGCGGTTGGTGAGGAGGCAGGGGTCGTCGTGCAGATTGTCGAAGGGCAACAGGGCCCGGCCATTGTCCCTGAAACGTTGGTTGATGGCCAGTAGCCCATGGTAGTTGGTCTGATTGCGGAGGCGCAGGGCGAGGGAGACCTCGCTGCCATATACCATGCTGGCGTCCAAGAAGGAGGTGAGTGAATTGATCTGGTTCCGAATGATGTTCCTGTTTTGGGGGCAGGAGGCCGCCGAACGGGTGAAGGGGATGCAGTCTCGCTGGTTCTTGATTCGGGGGTCATTGGCCGGAATCTGAGGTAGAAGAGGAACCAGTGACACTGCAGCCCCTTAAGAGCAAGCTTACTCCTCTTGGTTCTCCCACACCTGCTTCAAAACCTTGCTCCAAACTCTCCTCCTTCAGGAAGCCCTCCTTGACTCATCCAGACTCACACTGCTCACCAGGTCAGTTTGAATGTCCGTAGCACTTTGGATCAGAGTCATGAGAGATTAGAAATGGATGAAGCCTTAGATCCTCCTTATCCCAGTGGGGAAACTGAGGCTCAGAGACGGGAAGTGACAACGGTTAGCAGGAGAGAGAGGAATTGAAACCTAGTTCTCCTGACATTTAGGCCTCTGCTTCTTTCATTCCATTCAACTCAACAGATATTTCCTAAGCACCTTTCTGTGCTGGATGCTTTGGAAACATGAAGATCAACAAAGCTCAGCACACGCTGCAGGAAACTGGCAATTCAGTTGAAAACAGACACACACATAGGAATGTAACTCTAAATTGACATGCCGTTTGCTATGCTTGATCTAAAAGCCAAAAGTGAAAGGTGAGACAGGAAGATATGGGAAGGCTCCTCGGAGGAGGTGCCCTGAACCTGAGCTTGAAGGATGGGAAAGTTGCTACAGGGAGGAGCCAGCAGGGGCCCTCAGAAGTCATGCCTCACCCATACCACGCCCCATGGATATCGCCTTACCTATTAGGGTGAGGGTGTGGGTATATGAGTGCGTACACGTGTGTCCCCCCATCTCCCCAGCAGAGGCTCTGCCCCCTGGAGTGCATCTTTTCTTCCCTGGTGTTCCACACCACCCTTGCCTCTCAGCCTGAAGGATAGCCCCCTGCTCACAACCCAATCCCAGGAACTGGTAAGAGCTGCAGGGCCCTCGGACCCCCCCAGGAAGGAGAGAAGGGTGAGAGCTAAGAGGCCCTAAATGCTTCCAAAAGCAGCAGGCCAGAGGCTTCCACTGTTCCGTGGAGCCTGCACTGAACCTGCTGGCAGGCTGCCCCATCCCCACCCCTCAAACCCGCACAGAACTGGAGCCTATGCCAGGCTCTGCTTCTTGTCTCTGTCCGACCCTCCAGCATCACAAACAGCTCCCTAAGGATGGCACTTGAGTCTTCCAGATCCCCACCCCCAGCTCTTGGCCCAGGATGGAGGCCAGGGGTCTGGGAGACTGGCTGAGGGTACCTTGATGGGGAAGCAGGGGGGTAGCTGGGCACAGGTCTTCTCACAGTCAACGCCTGCACTGAAGGCCACTCTGGCTGGGGTCTCAGGGGTGAAGTCCAGGTCATGGTCGATGAACTGGCCCCACTGCATGAACATGAGGGCCCGGCCCTGGTCGGAGGCCAGCCTTTCTCTTGGGAAGCGCACGATCTGGTTAGACACTGCCCGGACCTAGTGGGGAAATAGGTCAGCATGTGGGGGGGGGGGACTTCTAAACCCCAAAAAGTGTTGGAGCCAGCGGGGGACTCAGGAGGCAGCAGGTCGCCCCTACTGGAGTTAACACAGAGTCTCTCCTCCTCTCCTGCCCTCCCCTCCCCCCTCCCCTTTCCTACTTTGTCCCACCTCCTCTGTGGCTGTCATTCCTAGAAGGAGGGTTTCTGGCCTGGCCCCTGAGGAGTCCAGGAGGACGAGAAGGGGAGAGGCCAGGTTGGCTGGCTCAGACCCCACCAGCACTTCCAGAGAGGTTATTACATCAAATCGATCGGTCAATTTATAACCTAATGGATAACTGGATGATAGACATGATTGATAGATGCATGGACTAGTTGCTAGGTAATGGATAACAAATATAGAGAGAATGGATAGATCGATGAAAGAAAAATTAATAAAGAGATTTGATAGATGGGTAGATGATTGTTATATTGACATGGATAGAAAATTGGTGACTTGATAAGTGTAAAATAGTATACAAAGATCAATAGATATAGCTAGATGAAGGTGCATAGCCCTTTATAAAAGGGTAAGCAAAAGTAAGTTTACAGTTGTAATGCAAATAAATAATGCAATAATTAATAATACAACAACAAACTCTGTGTTTTGCATACTCAGAACTGTAAACCTACTTTTGCTCATTCCTGTAGTTAGCAAGATACTTTGACACTAATTCAGAAAAAAATACTGTAATGATTAGCCTTAATAGATTATATCCCATATGGATGTTTATTTAATATTTATTTCATATTCATACCAGCAACATGAGGCAGGTTTTACTGCTGTTTTACAGATGAGGAAACCGAGACTCAGCTGTATCACTTGCCCAAAGTCACCCAGCCAGCCAGGGGGAGAGCCTGGATCCCAGTCTGGCTGGCTGACTCTGGGCTGTACTTTTACACACACACACACACACACACACACACACACACACACACACACACC